TCTGTAAGTGTATCTTTTTCCTTTTTATTCTGGTCCTTAAATTTGGAGTTTCACTTTTCTCAATCCCAATGCAGACACATAACCGGCCTATTGTTTTCAATAAATGTGTATGGGCCCATTCATACACATTATGGTCATAGGTCTCAATATCAGTTTGGTCCAAGCCTTAATTACAAAATAGTTGTACACTTTGACTTGTACATGGATTGGGACATTCGTACATTGGGTCTTGCTACATGTACCCTTTGAATTACACTTTATGTTACTTGGGCCCATCCCCTCCCTCACATGCATGCATTTATTGGATGTGGGATCCGACCTCTTTGTGAGTGAGGAGGTGAGATCGGGTAATTCAAAGTGTAATTCAAAGTGGTTGAGTAGCATAATTCTTCGTATATTAGAGCAAATAGATAGAACAATTGATAAATTTTGTAACATATCTTTTTTAATGCATTTAAATTTGCTCGATACGACGTAGAGAATGTGTTCTTGGTTTATTTCCTTTCAATCTCGCTTCTTATTTGGGTAGTAATCGGGAAATTTCAAAACACTTACAATTATAAAATATAATCCTATTTTGGTAGAAATTAAAATCAGATTTATTAGTAGATTTTAATTAAAATTGATGGATTGCGTGTTCGACAAATTGTGAATTCTATAAAATGTGTGGTTAAAATTAATTTTTAATTTTGATTTAGATTTTAATCAGATTTTTACCGGTACGAAACAGAAGCATAATATTACATAGTATAAATTCAAGTAGTTTTAGTAACGAAGTCGATGTCATGATTACATGTCAAGGTTCAGTTTGACTACAAAGTGTGAATTTTTAAAAAGGACAAAATTCAAGTATTTTGCTTGCACTTGATAAAAGAAATCTAAGTTATGTCCAAAGATTTCGTGAATTAAATGGTACTTTTTGGTTTTCAAGCATTTTAGAAAATCCAGGGATCAATTCACGACTTCCAAAAAGTACATGGACAATTTTGCAACAATATAAAACTGAAGGGGAATATTTGAACATTTTACAAACTTCAAAGACCAATTTCCATTACTCAGATACTTAAATGACCAGTATACATCAAATAGAAATATCAGGGACCGAAACACAACAATCAAAAATTTCATGGACTATTTACCAAACTTTGTAACTTCAGGGAACAATCTGCACAGTAAATGCAGGGAAAATATACAGATTGCCAAAAAACAAAAAAACAAAAAATTTAGGGATTTGTTCGTCCGACCTTTGGCTATTGTGACGAAGTCTATATTAAACAAGACATCATCGAACACTTCAAGAAATAACGAGACAAAACTAGACCCGATTTTCAAGAAACATTAGAGGATTTTGTCACCGACTCACCAACATTTAATAAGGTTTTAAAAATGCACACTCACATCTTCAATGAACCAAGACAACGAGGCCAATGGTGAGGCCAGCGTCAAAGAAGAATACGAGGAGTTTTAGAAAAGTATATGAGAGTTTTTGAGATATTTATAAGAGTTTTAAAAAGTTTCAGTTTCTAAAACGTGTGCAAAATGAAAATGCTAACGCTTTAGACAACTAGGTAAGTTTCTTTATTGAAATAGAAAAAATAAAAAATTATTTCGAGTGTTCAACTTTTCGAAAAGTTTCAATTGTCAAAACATATACACAAAATGGAAATGCCAACGGTTTAAACGATTCTATGTTACCTAAATAGGGTTTTCAAAGTTCATAGTTAGTAGATTCAATCGGACATTGACCTAGTTGAGTTATCCAGTCTCGAGTTACTGTTTGGACCGACAGGTTAGTGGTTAAAGTCAAACTAATACCTCAAGACAATCAGTAACTTGAGATCCATTACTTTGATCGGGTTGATGATCGGATCAAATCTATACTAAGCATAAATGTTAGTTTTGATTAGCCTCTGTTTGAGTCTCATTAAAATTGTCATTCTCACTTTTTACTCATTTTCAACAACACATTCTTCAATTAAATAATATTTTTCATCACATCAATAATTTTTTTTTCTCTTTCAACCGCACATTCTCCATTAATCTACTATTTTAAAATACATTTTTTTTAAAATAACGTAGCTAAATAATGTTGCCGAGGAAAATAAACGGAAATGTCAGTGCAAAATTAGTTTCATACCCGCGTATTTGACCCGTGCGGAACACTATCATTTTGTCTTTGAGTTCTATCGTCTCTTTTTTCGGTTTTCCATTGTCAATTAGCCTTCTCCAATGAAAGTTTCCTGTCAATTTCAACATAAAACCCTAATATTTCTCACATTTCAATTCAAATTCTCCTTAAAACAGTAAAATCCCCATAATTGAAACCATAATTTTCCCTCAATACGTTATCCTAATCATAGAAATTTTAGATTTTTGTAATGGATAAGAAGAGAGATGAATTGTCTCTGACAATTTACAAACCCTCGAATTTTACGGGGGGTTGTTTGGAAATTCGGTTATTCTACGTGCGGATAGCGCCGTGCGCTGTGGATTGCGTCCCTGACCACCTAACGCTCCGCCACCTCCGTCGGGAGATCGGTGTTTCGTTGGAGATTAATGGATCCCGTGTGCCGTCCTCCGATACGGCTTCGATTTCCCTCCGGCGGGATCGTGTGGATAAGGACTCTTCAGAGGTCACGTACGTCAGCACCGATAGTGTCCGGTTGTCAGGTCCCACGGAATTTGAGGTATGTGAAAATGGGGAGGAGTTGATCCTGTGCGGTTCTCTGGAGCGGGTTGATGCTGCGGCATGGGCTAATGGGAGTTCTCCGGAAAATGACTCAAGGACTGGTTGGAGCATCGATTGCTATGCGGCCGCTTCCATGGCAAATGGTCGTTCAGCATTTTTTCAGCCAAAACTTGGGGTATCCTCCCCTTCTATGGAGGTTTACATAGCAGGTTGTTGCTCCGGGATTCCTGTGATATTGACAAAGATGATTCTAATCAGTCCGAGGCGAAAGGTGTTGAGGCAGGGGATGCTTGATGCCATTCCCGAGGACGATGAGATGGGGAAGGAGCAAAGGAGTGTAAATAATGGGTTACTTTGGCAGAGGAAACCGCAGGTAATGTGTTCTGGCATTGACTTTTGCCTCGTTTATATGTTAGTTTAGGTGGTGCAAATACTTGCAGGTTTATTTAGGCACTATAGAAGACTTTGATGTTTTCTGCTACCGTTAATCTCAAGTAGTTCAAATTTTGAATTTTTGTGCTTCACGGTCAGTTGAGAGCATATTCTAAGGGAGAAATTGTACAATCATTTAAAACTAAGGATGCATTGAAAGGATCTTGCAAGATATCTTAGCAGAGGAAGCAGGGAAATAGAGATCTAAATCAAATGAAGTCTATTGAAGATCAAAATGAGAGAGTTATGTTTTAGAGAGACGAGATCACGAAAAGATTGTGGAATAATCTTGATAGATTATTTAATGTAATGTACCGTATGGATGGTTCGACACTCTTTATATTTGATAGAAATGTTAATTATCCTAGAAGAATCCTAGTTTCAGAAATGACGTAGGATATGATGATGATGTAGATGAGAAAAACTGTTGGTTCAAAGAACCTATTTGGCTTTCTTTGGGGGAGATTACTATGGCATTCATTTTACCTACGATATTCATTGATCAAAAGTACATAGAAAAAGAAACAAGATTTGCATTTTTTTTGGAATGAGAAAAAGCATAATATATGGTATCCAAAGAAGTGTAATGGTAGCGTCGGAGATGTTAGGGAAAAGAATTTTAGTAGGTGTTTGGTATGGATTAAAATTAGATTTTTAGTAGATTGTAATAGAAGTTTTTGCAATGTATGGTTGAAAAGTTGTGGGACCATGAAAGATGTGTTTAATATTGATTGTTTGACTTTAACTTAGATTAAAATCTGATTTTAATCCGAAACAAAGAGGGCTTTATTATATATATTGATATTAGTGAAATATAACTATTGGAGTTACGCTTAGTGGCTGTAGTAGAAACCTTCTGATGGCTACATGCTTATACTAGGTTCTTTCTTGGTGAAGGAGCTTGGGAGACATACTCAAGATAATGCCTCTTCCTGCATGTTATTTGTTAATGACATTGTTTTAGTTGACGAGTCTAGGTGGAGAATATAGTGCAAGTCAAAATTTTGGAGAAGTTCTTTGAATTTAGAAGTTTCATAAGTAGAACTAAGATGTTATATATGGATTTTCCTTGCAGTTGCAATGAGTCACTATAGAGAGTAATACTGTATCAAATGGTGATTGTTTTAGGCATTTCGGTTCTTGAGTTGATAAAGATGATAGTATGTAATGTTTATAAATAGATCAGGTTTAATGAAATGAAGTTTGAGGATCTTATTTGATTATAAAATACCTATATAGTTAAAAGACAGGTTCTATGAAATGGTTACTAGACCAGTATGCTTTATTAAGCTATTGAAGGATAAAAAATCTATAATTTGAACTGTGCAGAAATGAGGATGTTAAAATGGATGAATGTCGAATAGAATGGAGAAAACGAGAAACAATAATATATGTTAGTAAGCGGGTGGCACAAATTAAGGATAAATTAAGGGTGAATCATGTGGTTGTGGCATGTCTTTTGTAAATCCAAAGAAGTCCTTGTTCACTCGCATGAACGTGTTAGAAGAGGGAGGATAAACCAAAGTTAATAGCTTGACATTGTTGTTAATGATTTGATTTCATTAGATCTTTTCATGGACATAGGGATTAATTGAACGAATTGGTGAAAAATGATTAGTGATGCTTCTATTGTTAGTATTGTGCAAATGTTATTTGAATTTAGACAGAGTGCAACTGTGTATGAAAATTCTTACTATGTCATTATTAAAATTTTTTATCTTCTTTCTTACTCGGGATATCATCTTCGAGTAGGCACTTTGGATTTGTCAACGGTGTTTTTGAGCTAGTCACAATCGCCATTTATGTGTAGGGCTATAAATGGATCGGATATGGATTGGATCTGCTCATATCCGATCCGACAAGAATAATTCATGGATCCGATCCGATAATCCAACAGATATTTGATTTTTAAATCCATATCTGATTTGTTATGTTATCGGATATTCAATTCGAATATTATAGAAAGAGTGATTTTTCAATCTAAATACAAAATTTATTATAATATATATTAATGTTATATTGGAATTTGATACGTTTGACTTTCTTCATTAAAAGTCATAAATTATAATAAAAGTTTGAAAATGAAAAAAAATATTTTTAATAAATTATTTGTAATATGTAAAATATATTATATTATTATAACAAATCGTATCAGGTTGTTACCGAATCGGATTGACGTGTATCCATATTTGTTCCACTTAATTAACGGATTATGAGGATTCAGATCTTTGTTAGGTTATTGAACTGATGCACTAAATTCATCTCCCATTAATTTCATTGGATTCGCAGCAAAATACAATCCATTGACAGGCTTATTTATGTGCACTTCCGGGTCAAAGTTTAGAAGGCAAAATGGGTCGACTAAAAGTTATTAAGAATACTAAGCTCATTTCAAAATATGTATTTGAGTGATTAAAAAACCAATTGAATAATGCAATTGCCAATTTGAGATATCATGCCAAGATTGTCACTATTAACATTTTGTTTTGTGTTATTAATTATGCTGTTTGCCGGCAAGCTGATTTTTTTTTATTTAATTTTTAATTTAAAAACTTACCATATGGAAGTCTTTCTTATTATTTTATTTCTATGCAAATGTTTTTCAACGAACATATCTATGTATTGTTATATAAAAACACTGCAAAAAAATATAGTGGCTGATTGCAAAAGTAATACACACAACATGTGTTGAAGGGCATATTTAAGTGGCAAACAAAGAAAATAACTATTAAGGTTCTTTTCTTTCTGCCATGTTAAAGTTGGGCCGTTACCATAGCATTTTTATACTAGAAGTTTCTTATAAAAATTATTCAAGTCAGAGATGTTAAGTTGTTTGTTAAGATCTTCAGATCTTGTGAAGGTGTTACGCAATAATATAGAAGGGTGAGTGATTGTATTTACATTGAATCTAATAAGAACTGACAATTCAGTAAGTATAGGGTGATCCATTCACATGATTTATAGCAGAAGAGCTCGACTAGTCCTGTTGAAAACAGACTTCTTCATCCATTATTGAAATCTCATTCTGAAGGTATGCTTGGAGCAAATTTCCAGTCCCTTCTCTTTGGCGTTCACTAAGAATATGGAATCCTTTTCGTACAGCAGTAGGTTTTTTTTGAATCTGCTCTTTTTGCTGCAATAGTATTTTTTATTTCTTTAGTAAATGCACACGGAATAATTTTATGTCACCTGCCAGCCTCATGTTACTAATTGATTCCTTGGTTTTTTTTCCTGCAGTTTACTGAGGAAGACATGGATGAGTATGAAACAGATGGGAAAGCTGAATGCAGCTATTACGCGGAAGACATGTACCCGGGTGAAGATGGGCAACTTACATGGTTCAATGCTGGTGTAAGGGTTGGCGTAGGAATAGGCCTCGGAATGTGCCTTGGAGTGGGAATTGGTGTCGGCCTGCTCATGCGTTCGTATCAAGCTACGACTAGGAATTTCAGGAGGAGGTTCTTTTAGTTCTCATATTTTCATGATATGTATAAATGATTGAAATGGGAATCTGTTTTTTCCTTTGGAATATTAACAGAGCATAAGCATTCGAGATATCAACTGAGGAAGCGAGAAGAACATAATGCAGCTAGTTAATTTCGATAGACCAAGTGGATGTTGATTGCATTGTCAGATCCTTGCAGTTTGGGCTTGGGAATGTGTTCTGTGTAAGTGCTTCGGCAACTATCCTAACGCATCACAAGGGAATGCTACATCTTGTGCGAATCTGTATGTAGTACTTAGTTGTGCGTAGATATTTTCTCTTTGTATGAAGTTCTTGAGAGGTTATTTCTGCTGAGTAAACTGACTTTTTGTACTTTTCCAATTTTTTTTTTTTTTTCAAATTTGATTGTCGAAATAAGTAGTTTCGGATGACATGAAATGCAGCTACCACCAAGTATGTTTCTGTTGAGTCAATTGAATAACGGAAGATTGTTGTCTGAGAAACTGAGATTTTGTTTAGTTCTGCATCAATTCTAGTTCTTTTCTTGAATGTATACTTCATTTTTTGCAATTTGCTGTCCGTTACTTCTTTAGATTTTCCTTGTGAAAAAAAGTAAGTTCTGTTAGTATAAAAGTTACTTTTGAGGAAAAATAAGCAACTTAAAAGTAATTTGAACAATGTGTATAATATGACCTCGTATCTACTATCCAAATGTATTGCGGCCATTCATTCAATCTACGAGTACGAGTAGTTTAAGAAACTATGTAGCATGAAGTTATTGTTATCTTGTAACATTCTTATATTTGTATAGCATCATACTTGCACTTAATCTTGCATATATCACATATGTAAGTCACAATGAACTGATAATGCATTTGTTATATTTTCACAATATCGTACTTGTATCTCATCTCTCATTTCGTAGAGCTGCTTCGAGCTGACAATAAATTCCTAACAACAAAGAAATTAATATATACAAAAGGTACATACATTGCACTAGCATCGTGTTGTGTGCTTGAATCAACCAGATAGTGTCGATGCTCCTTCTTGACATTCCATACCAAAAAAATGTAGGAGGATGGACCTATGCAAAGCCAAGTCATTCAATTACGTAGATCTCTCCTGAGATCATATTTGCAAGGTATAATTTGTGTGCATGTTTGGCAAATCTTAAATTATAATTTAAACTAGTCAATATATACTTTTTATTCACAAATTTTATAAGACACACAATTTTTTATTAACTCGTTACTCATACATTATGTATACTTATAATCATTTAAAAGCACATCTCGAAACCTCTTCTAACTTCTTAGTTTAGCAACACTTCAAATTTTGAAATGAGTTATACTGACGTGGCCTTGTACGCTGTGATAGGGGGAAGGGGTTTGCTAGGGGACGTCCCTCTTCACGATACAAGGTCACGTTTCACGGGTTACCTTTCTTCTTAGTACAGAAAGGGACACCGTGCGGCAATAGTCTGCATTACTAGACCACCTTCCACCAACTCTCGATCGTTTCGGGACAATTTGATTATAA